ATGAAGAGTAATGTCCAGGTATTTCCAGGCATTAGCCCAACTTTTCCAGTGACCAGTCACAGAACAAAACAGGCTGGAATGTGCAAAGACAGAACAGAGGGAAAATGAATGCTAGGACAAACCAATGCCTTTTATCACTTCAGGGAGCACTGATTCTAAATATGAGCTGGTGTGTCATCTAGTTTGATCCTATGTTTTCACATTGGGAGCCTCTGATCTGCACGGACTTCCACATGAAAAACATGCCCCCTGTTAAGGCTCATCATTCTAGAGGAGGCTGGCTCTGGGGATGCGGACATCTATTGCTGAATGCTTTATTTTCCCATTAGCTATGGACACATCTGTTGGGAATAATGCTGATTTCACATGCTGATTTCTGCAAATGAAGGAACGGTGCACGACACAAGAGATGGTGAGGTTATTTGGTATTCTCAGAGATTAAAAAATGAAAGCAGTGTTTTCCCCTCCGAGATTTACTGTAGGATGGGGCTTTCACATGAAGCCACTTTCATTTGAAAACTGAAACGGCAGAGAAAACGTGTGAGCAGATTGTACCACCTCAGACAATGCATGCTTGAACAGACCACGAGTCATTATGTCTCAGCGATTTTGGCACAGTGGTGTTCTTTGGGGACATCACCGGCGACGTACACTCAGCTCCGTTTCTCAGAATCACAGAAGTATACTCTCGAAAGGGAACTAGAAGGCCACCTATTTCATCCCCTACTGATTCAGGAAAGCAACATCTAAAAATTTCCTGACAGATGACTATCCAGTTTCTGCTTCAAAAACTACAAGGATGTGAATCCATCCATTTCCGAGGCAATTTTTTGTTTTAACAATGGGCAGTTGTTGCCTTGGATGAAAAGCCCCAACAACCCTCAGACAATGACTATTTGTTCTGCCTCTACATCTGTTATTTGAGAACACTGCATATGATAAAATCCAGTGCTTCATAAGCATGTTATTTGCATGTACTGTACAAGATGACTTTCCTGTCCTTTCTCTGATGCAGCCCTTAAAGAGTTCTGAAAGGTCTCCAAAGCCGCAACTCTCCAAAGCAGAGAGGTTATCCCAGTGTGGTGAAGAGGATAGAGTGACAGACTAGAACTCTGGAGAACAGGGTTCAAATCCCCGATCAGTCATAGAAACTCATTGACAGAGTGGAACTGTTAAAACTACTATTTAAATATCTCACTTACCTTGAAGGCCCTATTAAGGTTGCTATAAGTCAATTCCAACTTGAGGACACATAACATGCACAGATGGCTATGAATTAGTAGCAATCTGTCAAGACTGCTTATGGTAAGGTAGAATATTTTTATTATCCAAGAAATCCATTCAGGATAAAACCTAAACTTGTATACAAGTACTTAGAGCTGACTTCAATACATGCAAACACACTGAAGGCCAACATGGACACACCCTCGAGACTAGCCAAGAGATGAAGGAGAACAAAGAACCATTTTCTTTAAGAACTGGGAAGTAATCTAGAAGGAAGTGGCTTAAGGACAACAATTTATAAGAAGTCACTTAGAGAAAACAAAGGATGCCCAGTCCCACCCACCTATCAGATTGTCTCTTCACTCCCTGTCAGCACCCCACCCCCAAAATACAACATTGCTGAACTTATTTTAATACAAGGTTTAGGCAGAAGTCATTTAGTCGTGTGCGACTCTTCTTCCATGGCCAGGCCCTCCTGCCTCCCGGAGTTGGGTCAAATTCATGTTGGTCGCTTCGATGACACTGTCCAACCATCTCGTCCTCTGTTGTCCCCTTCTCCTCTTGCCTTCAGACTTTCCCAACATAAGGGCCTTTTCCAGGGAGTCTTCTCTTCTCATGAGATGGCCAAAGTATTGGAGCGTCAGCTTCAGGATCTGTCCTTCCAGTGAGCACTTAGGGTTGATTTCCTTCAGAATTGATAGTTTTGTTCTCCTTGCAGTCCTGGGGACTCTCAAGAGTCTCCTCCAGCACCGCAATTCAAAAGCATCAATTCTTCGACGGTCAACCTTCTTTATGGTCCAGCTCTCACAAACAAACAAAAACGGGGCAAACTAAATACAACCCATACCTGTAAAATCAAAGTCATATTCAACAGATGCTGTACTCTGATCCTTGGGAGGAAACAAAAGACACGACTAAATTCATTTATAATTTCAAAAAATGTTTTGCACGGGCATTCATATGCCTATGCGTCTGTATTCTGCATTTCAACTGGGCCTACAGTGCCATCTTGTGGAAAGATGCTACAGTTGCTTCCCTTACTCACGATGTGAATTTAAAAAGATCCCATCTAGTCAGGTCCAACATTTTAAATGTTTCTATGTTCATACTCCATGGTCCATGGGGTCACGAAGAGTCGGACACGACTAAATGACTAAACAACAACAATGTTCATACTGTGTTTCATACTATGAAAGACCTGAACTGGATTTCTTAAAATAAAAAAAGTATGCTTCATATCTCAGGCAACTGCAGAACCTCAGTGCCAACATTCACATATGCATACCTATGCTACCGTTTCTGAACTGGCACTTAGGGAAAAGCCAAATGGGCAAAGAGATGTAAGCAAAGACAGGATGTCCTACACCAGCCGTTTTCAATATTCATTCATTCATTCATTTTCTACCCTGCTCATCCAGAGGCAAGTCACTACTCTGGGCAGCTTACAACAAAATGCAAACACACAATATGAAACAAAGCAAAAAATAAAGACCTCACCCCATTAACTCATCCATAAGACAAGCAAACAGACAATCACCAACCCCAAGGTGGTGGTAACAACATACATTAAACAATATAATGCTCAGGTAATCAGAAAAAGATTAGATTAAATATAATCTGGAATAGTGATATTATCTATTGCCCCGTGCGGGCTATGAGAATCTAGAGGTTACAAGCCAAAAAAGGAACTTTTCCAAGCTTTTGGTTATTGTGATTTTTTCGGGTTTGTTGTGTAAGAAGCCTCAGAAATCAAGTTTTGAAAATGTGTGGGAAACTTACCTAAGAAGAAGAAGAAGAAGCATGTTTGAGCAGACATTGGCCTCCAACTCATGGAGAGCACCAAGATGGCAGTTGAGGCACCACTAGAATGCATATCTTCATTCTAGGGAGATATATCTACACAGTTCTACAGTATTCTCAGTGGTTCCCAACCTTGAGATCCCAGATGTTCTTGCAGCTCCCAGGAGACTTCACCAATAGCTGTGCTGACCAAGGTTTCTGTGAGCTGCAATCCAAGAACACCTGCGTTACCCAAGGTTGGGCAGCACAGTTCTAGATGGGCGACAGATGTTTTGTTTCAAATATTGCAATTTTTGCATTAATACACAATACTTCACCAGCAGTCAAATGAAAGAAGAAATCAGCTAGCATGTATTTCTGCAACCTTTATACTAACCACATGGGTTATTTAAGAGATATCTGCCATAAATGCCCACCTTCTAATCAGACTGTTTTGAAACCTCCATTATTCCGTTCATAAAACCTCCGCTAACAATCCACTACCAATTCTATTTGCATTAACAAAGGGATGTACTAAGGTTCTGCTGTTTGCTGCCTCCTGATAACAGATCTTAACAGGGCATTCTGTTGTGAGTGGATTCAGTTTTGACCATGTGAGCTTCTTCCAATTCCTGCCCTATAGATGGGGAGACTTTGGCTTTCATAACAAAGTCCTTATTTAACAAAACAGGGGGTTGTTCCAGCACAACCTCAAAGGACTCATCAGTACTCATCAACCTAAACAGTCTCTGGTGACTTCTGACAAAGTCTCTCCTAGTAACAGTGGGGTCCACCAAATTGTTCCTTGTTGATCAGTTGGCGCAGGGGCAGACACTGGGCTGTGCACAGATTGCCACAGCATGGGCGACATGCCCAACCACCCTCGACCGCACTCTCCTTTGACAGTGTGGATTCTCTGCTTGCTCCCCCTCGTTCCCAAAGCTGGCCATCCTCTCAGGACCCTTTCTTTTGCAACATGCCCCCACTTCCCTCTCTTTTCTCCTCTGTTTCAGTAGTTCCTTCTTTCTCCAAGAAGAGGGTTGTGGGGTCAGATTTCCTCTGCCTTTCCACCTCCTTTTTAGTCAGGGATGGGGACTCAAGTCACGGGACTGGCTGCCAAGTTGAACTTAACTCACATTGGTGACTTGACTCAGATTTAACTTGGGGTTTTTTTCCTGACTGACTTGGATTGAACTCAGGACACAGATCCCACCCACCCCTTCCCTTTTTCTCCCCAGGAGGAAAAGCTTGTTTTTAATAGGGACTCAGACTTGGGGCCTGCAACTTGGGACTTGGTACCAATGGCGTGGACTCAGGACTCAGACCCCAAAACTTGCCAACATCGCTCTCTTTATGTATCCCGAACTTTATTTTTTCTTGTTTAGGGTCACCCTCTCCGCTACCTTCTCTCTCCCTCCAGCACCTGCCCTTCTTTTCCCCATGCCCTCTCCTTTTATCTCCTCCTCCTTTCGTGAAAGGGGGGGTCGTTTCCACTCCCCCAAAAAGGAAATTTAACTCAAAGTGTACTGACATTTTTTCTTCTTCTCAAATGTTATCATTAGCGCGTTCCATGCTGTCCCTAACGGGAATCAATCCATCCCACATTGGTCTAGAACAGGTTACTGTTCATTTGGAACAATTAGGATAATAGTTAGCTCAAAAATAAACTTCATGTACCATATACACCAGGCATGCTGCATGTTCCATGGGATTTATTCCCAGATACGTATCCACAGGAATTCAGCTGGGAATTCCTTTTTTTTTCCCCTCAAGCACGTGCTCCTTGGATTTGGAAGGGCTCCCGATTTCAGGTCACCGCTTTTCTCGAAATGGTGGAAAACACGTTCTTTTTAAAGAGGGGGAGGAGGAGGAGGAGGAGTACGGAGGAAGGGGGCACCTTCTCAAGCCACCCTCTTCGTCCAGACGAGCTCGGCCTCCCACCCCATCCCTACCCGAGAGTTCAAGCCGCTCTCGAGACAGATCTTTTTAGCCCCGGGCGGCGCTCAGAAGCCTTGGGAGTGACGCGGCGCGACGAATCGAGCTTCGAAACGGAGAGGGCTTAGAACGGAGCCGGGCCGAGTTCGATGACTCGGCGCTCGGCCTCGAAGGGCGGAAGGCTGCGTGCTCCGCTACCCGGCGAGTTCCGTCGCTGCTGCTGCTGCTGCCGCCGCCTTCCCATTGCCCGCCCACCTCCAGCAGTCCCCTCCGCGCTCAGCAGTCCTTGGGGGCGGCGGCGGCAGCGGCGTGGTCGTCATGGCCGAGCCTGCGGAGAAGTTGTACCGGGCCGAGTACGCCAAGAGCGGCCGGGCTTCGTGCAAGAAATGCGGGGACAGCATCGCCAAGGACTCGCTCCGCCTGGCCATCATGGTGCAGGTACTGGCCGAGGGCGGCCCTGCCTTTGCCTTTCCCCTCTCCCTGCAAGCTGTGCAAGGGGGTTCAAGCCCAGCCCCGACGGGGGGGCGCGCCACGTTTGCCTGCTGCGGCGGCCAGGCGCCTCTCTCTCTCTCTCTCTTGCCGGGCTGCAGGCGCTTCGCAGGAGCTGCTGCGCTGCTTTGTGCGGAACGCCCAGGCGGAGCCGCACGAATTGCCGCCCTCCAGACCGGAGCCCGCTCGGCCACGTGCCGCATGCAGGCCAGCGTTGCAGCTGCAGGATGTGTACGGGGGGGGCCGCCGCCCTCTTGTTCCTTGCACGGGCGGCTCCCTTTCTTAGGGGCCTTCTTACTTGGGAAGTCGCCTGGCAGACCGCCTCTGAACCGGACAGTGGCCACGAGGCGCAGATCCTGTAACCGTTTTAGCCGGGAGGAAGCCCCATTAAACATAACGATACTTACTTTTGCATAAACATATGTTGCATTGTCACTCAATTCCCCTCCCGGCCCCTCCCGCCCTCATTTTGGCTCAGTTACATTTGGTCATCGCCAAGAAGCTTTTCAGGCCTTCCTGTGCG